TCTCTCCCTAAACTTCCAAATCACTCATTTAAACAGATTCAAACTAGTAACCTAAAGACCAAATTCAACCTGCAAATATGTGCTTAGCTGCCTGAGTATGTGTGAATGTGTATATCTGTGTGTCTATGCAAGTGTATTCAATCCAGGTGCACGTTCATGTGAAGGCCAGACGATGATGTAAGTCTTTCTCAATAATGAGGGTCTCTCACTGAATCTGGAACTTGACATTTTGACTCAACTGTCTGGCCAGCAAGCCCCAGGGATCCATCTCTGCCTCCTTAGCACTAGGTATGTTACTGTGCCTGGCATTTACGTGGGCACTGGGGATCAAACTCAGGGCTGCATGTTTGCACAGCAAGCTCTTTACTTGTGCCTTTTCCCAGCCTCACTGTCTTCCTTTTTTTTTGTTTGTTTGTTTAGCCACTTTACTAAATCAGCATAATCTCTAATTACCTTCTAAATATTTGTCCTTATACCCACAGATAAGTGTTCTTACCCCTCATCAAGGAAACTTCTTTTTCCAACAGGTGAAAATCACTATAGAAAACCACAACCAATTAAAAGTAGAGTTGTGGAGCCAGTGCCAACTCATACATCTACAACACAACTCCTACTTCTAAGGTTCAGGGGTCATTGTGGAACAGGGGGAGGAAAGACTGTAAAGGCAAGGGGGCTATGAGATCATGTCTCTTAGCAATGTCAGAAACTACATCCATGAAGTCTTAACACAATGGTTACCTAAGCATGACCTAAGCAAGGATGACACCAGTGGACATGCTAATGTGGAAGAAAGTTCACAAGGCTTTAACCCTACACAAAGAACTACAATCAACTGAGGGATGCTGAGATTGGGAGAAGTAGTGGTTATCTAATACCAAATGGTCAGCCCTGAAAACATACATATACATGGCATTACATAGAAATAGCAGGTTATATTTATGTATTTAGGAATGCACATACACCCATGCATGCAATAACAACTAAAGAAGAGGCCATGAGTGTGAAAGGGAGTGAGGAATGGGCAGGGTATATGGAAAAGTCTGGAAGCATAAGAGGGAAGAGGAAATGATGTAATCTCAAAAAATTAAAATAAAAATTTAGAATGTTTTTATTTAGTTAGCAACAGGTTGGGAGATTTCACAGAAATAATCTGGATTTCCTGGTTCTCTAAGAGAAAACAGAAAATTTGCCCACAGGGCAACAACCAGCTGGAGCCAATAACCATTAGTTTGTGTGCGTAGTCTGTTGTCCCAGCTACTGCCTTCCACCCTACCAGCCTCACTTACTCAGGTCATCTGCCCATCATTTACCTCACCTAACCAACTCTTTCATAGGTTTGCTGCTAAGGCAGTATGGCACCCATGTTCTAGTTGACAAAAATCCCTGGGTCCCATGATATATGTTTATCCAACACACTCTTCCCAAGGGAGCCGTCCTGATAGCTCAGAAGCTTTTCTTCTGGTTGGATGAAGACAGTTCCTGGCCACACATTCCATCCTTTGACTCTCCTTTACTGGTCCAATCTGTCTGGTCCTAGGTCCTCTTCCATCTTGGTAAAGAGACCTCTCAAGGAGAGACTTCCAGCAGGCTTTTCCACACTACAGTCAGACTGACAGTAAATACAACTTCATTCTTCATTAAAAGTCCTGAAGTGGTCAAGTTTCTTCAACTTATCCCACCTGGCTCTTCTGTAGTCTCTTCCAAGTGAGAAGGCAGCAGAATCCATGACATACAGCAGAGCTCTAGGGCCAACCTGCCCAGCAGCCTTCACTGTGCTTCTACACGCCTGGCCTCACTGCCTTTGCTTTGATCCTGATTTGGCATCTCCAAACCCAGACGATGTAGGGAATGTGCAAAGAAGTGAGGAAGCTTGCAGGCCAGGAGGAGTTCCTCTGTCCTGGAGCCCAGAGCAGGCAGGATGAGCTGCCTGGCATGCAGGTGGAGGGGGATATAGCGGGCCTTTGTCTGATGTAGTCCCAGCTTCTTCAGTGTGCCAGCAGGAAGTTTCTACAAAAAGCAAAAACAAATCCTTAAGAGCACAGCCAGCTACTGCCTGCCTTTAACTAGCAAAGGTGCCTGTACTGACGTCTGCAATACCCAGGAACATCTAGCCCAGGGGCATGCCTGGGAAGGGCTTAGAAATTAGGTAAGAAAAATACAACTATACCAGAGAAACTGTTATTGGCAAGTCTTCTGGCCTTCCAAGAGAATGGGTGCTAATATCCACTAATAAAAAAGACTCCCCACGGTTCTTCAGATAACATGAAAGGCAGCTTTTACCTTATCACAGCCTCCCAATATATGGGAAAGGAAGCAAACCACTAAGGTTCTGATAGCATATCCTGTGGCTCCATCAAGACAGCAACTACTCTGATACCTTTAAAAGCTTGAAGTATGTTCCCATGTCTGGAGACAATACTTTGTCATTACCCATTTCAGAGTCTTGTTTTTGTTTGTTTGTTTTTGTTTTTTGAGACAGGGTTTCTCTGTGTAGCTTTGGAGCCTATCCCAGCACTCGCTCTATAGACCAGGCTGTCCTCGAACTCACAGAGATTCACCTGCCTCTGCCTCTTAAATGCTGGGATTAATGGCATGCACCAACACCCGGCTCCATTTCAGAGTTTAACAAAAGAATAAAAAGTAAGTTTACCAAAACATCTTTTTTTTTTTTTCCCATCTTCTAAGTGTTTTGAACAACGTAATTTTAGCAGCACCCAAAATCACATATATTGCTATTATTAAAACACTTAAATGTCACATTTCTTGAGAACCCTCACTTACTCTAGGGTATGTCTTCTTCCTAAATATGTGTATTTCTCCCTGTCTCTTGAGGCCTATATTTGCATCTATAGTAAAACCACTTACTAATAAACTCTAATGCTACTTCAAAACAAACAAAGGAAAGAAGTCCTTGCTGGGCATGGTGGCCCACACTTTTAATCCCTTGAACTCTCTGAGTTCAGCGTCAGCCTGACCTACAAAGGGGTTTCCAGGCCAACCAGCCTACACTGTGAGACCCTGTATCTAAAAGACCAAGGGGATTCAGCACTAACACACCAAAGGCGTGGCCATTCATTTGTTTATTATCTTAATAAATATACCCCCCCTAAAACCAAAACCCCTGGGGGGGGGGGGAGGAGCTCTCTCTCTTATCTGTTAAACAGCACAGAGGGTTTAACCAATGGTGGTTTGAAAGTGTCCTCTACAGTGTTGGGCATTTGAATACTTGGTCCATAGTTGGAGGTGCTGTTTGGGGAAGTTTAGGTTGTGTTAGAGGAAGCATGTCACTGAGGGCAGGCTTTGGGTGCTGAAGGCTTGCCTTACTCCCAGTTTGCTTTCTTTCTGATTCATGCTTGATTTGAGATGGGAGCTGTCAGTACCCAGTTCCTGCCACCATGCTGGCTGCTTGCTGCCAGGCTGCCCCACTATGATGGGCTCTTATCCCTCTGAAACAGCAGCCAAAATAAACTCTCATATATGAGTTGCCTTGGTCATGGTGTTTTATCACAGTAACAGAAAACTAACACAACTAGTATTACCTGAGGGGCCAACCTATTCCAGTCTGAGTACTTGTGATCACCAAGGATTGGGCAATCCAAACCAAAAGATAGGTGAACTCGAAGCTGATGTTTTATTCCTTAGGAGAAAAAGGAAAAGAAACACTTACGAGGAGCAACAGAAATGATGCTACTGCTGAAATCTCCTTCAAATCATATTAAATCAAACCATAGTAAACTGGCAGCACCAAAGGCAATAAGGAACAATGGAGGAAACTATAAGCTATGCAGTACCAGCCAGCTTAGGAAATAAACATACATATTCTGGACATCCATTATCATGGCCTTTATGTCTACAATTACCATAACTTTTTATAATTTTACCAATAGTGGTAAACTATTATTTTGCACATTTCTTTTTTTCTTTTTTGTAGTACTGGGAGTTGAACCTTGTGCATGCCTGGCAAGTATTCAACTACTGAGTTAAATCCCAGCCCCCCCCACATTTCTTAATTACAGTGATATATGTATGTATATATGTATGTATGTATGTATGTATACACACACACACACACACACACACACACACACACACACACACACACCTCACTTAAGCCACTTTAAGTACACAGTTCAGCAGCACTGTTGCAAAACACTGTTTTGCAACCATCAACATTGTTCATCTTTAAAAATTTCCTATCCTCCCAAACTAAAACTCACCAACTGAAACAATGGCTGCCCATTCCTCCCCAATGCCTTCTCTAGCCACTAGTTTTTGGCAAGCATCATTCTATTCTATGAATCTAACTACTCTAAGTACATCATGTGAGATAATTCATACAGAATCTATCCTTTGCATCTGGGTCACTTCACTTAGCATAGTGTTTTCAAGGTTCATCCATGTAGCACATGTTAGAATTTCAGTTTTTTTTTTTTTTTTTTTTTTTTTTGTTTTTCGAGACAGGGTTTCTCTGTGTAGCTTTGGAGCCTATCCTGGCACTCACTCTAGAGACCAGGCTGGCCCCGAATTCACAGAGATCCGCCTGCCTCTGCTTCCCCAGTGCTGGGATTAAAGGCGTGCGCCACCAACACCCGGCAGAATTTCATAGTTCTAAGGCTAAAAATAACATTCTTTTGTATACACATACCCATCCCATGTTACTTCTCCATTCATCCATCCCGGGCTACTGCTGAACAGAGGGATGCAAATGTCTGCCCTTAGGGTTTCTTGTTGTTGTTTGTTTTTAACTAAAGAATAGAATTGCTAAATCAAATGGTAATTTTTTTTGAAGAAATGCTGTGTACATTTTTAAATAAAGCTATTTAAGCTGTGTTCTTCTGAAGCTGGGCACAGTGGCATGTGCCTATAACTCTAGCACTTGGGAGGCTAAGGCTGGAGGATAACAAGTTCCAGGAAGTATAGGCTACATAGTGTATATTTCATCTATTCTTTTACCCCCCACAATCATCCCCACGGAGACCTTAGTTTCGGATCTTCACCCGAATCCCAGGATTCCACAAGTCAACTGTACCCACAGCCTGTACACAATATTAGTGGCTCAGAATAAGGGGAGAATCCAGCACAGGCCCTGGACAAAGCATGTCTGTCACCTCCCAGTGGAATGGGGCATCCTCACCAGTAACAGGCTGTAGCTCCACGAGGGCAGAAGAGGGAGTGCTGCTAAGCACCTGGTACTGAGTTACAGCAACATGGGCATTCCGGCTGGCCCGAACCTTTACCATTTTCCCATTGTCCATACGGTAACTCGGGGACAGCGTCATCTGAAGTCAGAGAGATCAAAATATGATTCCCAGGAAGACAGAAACCCATGCCTCAGGGAGGCAGCTCACCTACCTTGTGGTGTTGCTGCTGACCTTGCACTTCCTTCTCGACGATGGGGATATCAACCACTCCTGCCGAGGGCAAGGGGACACGAACAGTGATGGCCCTGGGGTTACACAAAGATTGTTGCTTGAGCCACAGAAATCAGGAATGGATCATAGACATAGAGATTCTCAAAAAACAAAAAATATTTTTATTTCTCTATGTCTGTATCTGTCATACGAGTGCAGATGCCCAGGGAGGCGGGTGATGGATCCCCTGAAGCTCAGGTGACAAGTGGTTGTGAGCTACCAGTTGTGGGTACTGGGGTCCAAACTCAGGAAGTCTGAAAGAGCAGCAAGTGGTCTTAACCCCCTGAGCCACCTCTCTAGACTCCATATCAATTTTCTCTTTGTTTGTTCTTTTGTTTCCTTTGGTTTTAGAGACAGGGTTTCTCTGTGTCCTGGAACATACTTTGTAGACCAGGCTGGCCTTAAACTCACACAGATCTGCCTGCTTCTGCCTCCCAAATTCTGGGATTAAAGGTGTGCCACTACCACCCAGCCCTCCATATCAATTTTTTTTTAAGGGCTCCCGTGATTACAAAGTTAGTGCACAATTTCTAAAACAAAAAGGACTATATATTCAAAGCATAGAATAATACTTATAAATCAAATGTAAAATCATAACCCATAGGAAATAGTCAAAGAGAAATAGTCTATTCTCAGAAAGGGAAATTCAAACAGAAAATAAACAGAAAAAACCTATCTGAGTGGCTTTTTAAACATACTTTGAGGTGTGCACTCACCACTGCTGGTCAGAGTCCAAACTGACACAGCTTTTTTGGAGAGCAGTTTAGGTACTATTAAATTTTAAATATGAGGCTTGAGAGATAGCTCAGAGGTTAAGAGCATTGACTAGACTTCAAGAAGATATAGGTTCAATTCCTTGTATCTACATGGTGGCTAACAACCATCTGTAATTCCAGTTCCAGGGGGATGCAGTATACTTTTCTAGCCTCCACAGGCATTGCATGAATGTGGTGCACAGACCAAAATTCCCATACACATGAAATAAAAATAAATTTCAAAAAACTACTAAAAGTTTTTGAACATGCATAACAATCAAATCTCAATTCTGTTTTACAAGGAATATACTCTAAAAACACTACTATGGAACAGGGTGTAGTTATATACACCTGTGATCCCAGCACTCAGAAGATAAAAGCAGGAGAATCAGGAGTTCAAGGTCAGCCTGAGCTACATAAGACCCTGTCTCAAGAAACAAATCAGTGGCCATTAAGATGTTGTAGCAGATAAAGATGCTTGCTTCGAACCCTGACAATCTCAGTTTGACCCTAGGTGCCCATATAACGGAAGGAGTGAACTGATTCCAAATTGTCCTCTAACCTCTACACAGGTGCACTGGTAAGCACGTGGCCAAATGCATACAAATAGGAACACAAATAAATAAATATTAAAAAAAAACAACAACACTGGGTATAGTGGTGCAGGCTTTTCTATCCAGTGTGTGGAAAATATACATATATTGTGAGTTCAAGGCCATCTTAGTCTATGTAGCACAATCCAGGTCAGCCAAAGTTACAGTAAGACTTTGTTTCAAAACTAAGCAAACAAACAAACAAACAAAGAAAAGGGGTTGAGAAGATGGCTAAGCTGGCTGCACATGTATGATGATGAGCTTGGACTCCTAGCAGCTATGCTAAGCCCAAGTACAGCAGTGCACATCTGTAACCTCAGTGCTCAAGGGGGCAGACACAGGCAGAACCTAGGGGCTAGTTTTCAGCTACTCTAACCAATCAGTGAGACACTCTATCTCAATAAAATATCCTGTTTTGACTTCCACAAGTACACACGAGTGTACATGCACACACAATCTCTCTCTCTCTCTCTCTCTCTCTCTCTCTCTCTCTCTCTCTCTCACACACACACACACACACACACACACACACACACACACACACACACACGAACCACTATTTTATCCACATGTATACACACATGAACCACTACTTTATTACTCGATATTCTAAGTATTTAAGCTATTTCATACTCTTTATAACCTCATGATTCCTAGTAAAATGCCTAGTACAATAGTTCCTATAGTATAATAGAGAGATAAAAGATATGCCTTCATTTATCCCACCTCTACCGCCACTAGCAGGCCTCATACCAGTACTTCTTTTCCACCTGGCGAGTTCTAAACAGTTCCTGGACTTGATGTGCCATATCCTTCTCCCAAGCCAACACCATTACACCTGTGGTTTCTTTGTCCAGACGGTGGCACAGATGCAAAGGCTCTGCCTTGTGGCCACGAAGCATCTTTGCCAGGGTGGGTAGTACATCACTGATGCAGAGCTGGACTCCAGGGCCACCTATGAGGGAAAGAGCCAGAGGCTGGAGTTTTCACTGAGGAACTCTTGAGACAATGATCCTTACTGCATAAATTGTCCCCATTTCCTGTAGTTGTTCTATGAACATATGGCAGGGATTACTAATAGTAACAGGCCCAGAGATCCTACTAGCTATGAGATGAACCTCAGGTCCCCAGTACAGACTACTAAGTCAGAACTCATATTTTATCAAACATCCCCAGGAGTCACTAGTAACTAACGTCTGAGAAATACTGTGGCTTTCTCTTCAGCTTCTGTGGGACTGAGAAGCTCTGAGACATTAAAGAGGAGAGGTTAAGCTGAGGGGCTCTGAGATCAGACATCCCTAGATTTTACTCTGTACTCTCCATTTGGCCTTAGCTACATCACTCTCTCTCCAACTCTTTGTTATCTAAAAACATACATAAATATGTTATGAAAAAAGTCAACCCCAGTAACCAAAAACCTCATTAGAGAATAGTAAGGCAAGAACATGTTAGTAAATCAAGAAGAAAAAAAAAATCACAGAACACATTTGACAATGCCTACTTTATTTCTCTGTACTGCCACCAAAGGAGCTATTTATTCCATCTAAAATATTTTTAACTAAAATATTTATTTCCCCCTTGCAAGTCTTTGATATATTTCTTTTTCTTTTCTTTATTTCCCCAATTCTGATTCACTTCAGCTGTCCCTTTTTACTATATTCAGCAGAATCAGGACATCCATTAATTTCCAGACACTTTGGGGTTTCATGTTAGGTATAGTCCAACATACAAACACATCACTCCCTCCCCCACTCCTATTCATTTCTTCTTTCCCAGTTTTTGTTTGTTTGTTTTTCCCCCTCTACCTCTTTCATTTTGAAATGAGGTTTTGAAATTGCTGAGACTGGTCTGAACACCTGATCCTCCTGCCTCTGCCTCTCCTAGAACTTGGATGACAGTTGCATACAGGCACCCAGCCCTTTCCCCCGTTTTGATGGAAAATAACCATTAGACTGTCAGCACACAGCTTTTTGTATTTCTCTGCAACAATCTATGTGGGAGGTTGCACACAGCCCACAGTCAGAATTCCGCTTTTGTATTTCTCTGCAATAATCCCCGTGGGAGACTGCATATAGCCCCCTGTCAAGATATTTGGAAGTGGGAACTAGACACTGGTTTGTCTTACCAGTAATCATATACATACAATTGTAATTGTGTACTATACAAAGGTTGAACTTGAATTCAAGAGTGCCTCACATATAAGGCTTCAGAGGTGCCCCTAGTTGTAGAAGGAAGCAGTAGCAGGTTCCTTCCTTTCCCTTGCCCTGGTGGTTCTTACCGTGGACAGGGAGACCATACGGTTTATTAATGACCACAAGGTCCTTGTCCTGGTGGAGAATCCCTCGGCTCAGTTCCTTAGCAAGCACATTGGGGTGAACTCTCTGTAGTTGCTGGGTGAATCGCACTAGTTCCTGCACCCTCCGCTGAACAGGGTTTGTAGGGACCTAAGGAGAGAGAAGGGTGGCAAAAGCTTAATGTGGAAGTGAAGCGTTGGGGGTGACCTTAAGTGAGATGTAGGTGAAAATTCGTGCGGGGAATGACTGTGTTGTAGAATTAAACTCATACCTTCCTTTAGGACCATACATAGGTGTTTATCATACCCATGCCTGGCAGTAGCAAAAGTGCCCACAAAGACACTGTGCCAGTACTATCCATTTCTCTCAGAGGTAATCCGACTATCACACTGTATATCCTCAACACTGGCTTACTTGCTGTTACAGAAACTGCCTACTGCACCCCACACCTGGGAAAGCCGTGAGAGCATTGCCTCTTGGGTATTGTGGTCTTTCCGGGCTCACCGGCATTTTCTTCGTCTTTTGCTCTTTTTTCTGGGCTCGGAGCTTCTCCGCCAATCTCTGAGCATTCAGAGGCCTAGAGGTAGTAGCGCTGGAACAAAACGGCTTGGATCCGGGAGTGAAGAGTCTCCCGGGACGCAACTTGCTACTGAGGACCCGGAGACCAGGCGTACTCAACCTGGGCGCCGCCATCTTGCCGAAGGCGGAGTCAGACAGCACAGCCTGAAGCGGAGCCACCAGAGGAAGGGGGTGGAGGGAGGTCACGTGGGCTGACAGCCTGCAGGTCACGTGGGCAGTGCGCGCTCAGTGCGGCTGCGCCGGCCGGTAGCTGCAGCTGGAGCGGTGGCGTTTGGAGCAGACGCGGTGAGTGTGTGGGGAAGCCAGGCTGGGGCTGGGAAATGCCGGTGCCTCAACGGTTTTCGCGTGGCCCGGATCTCCGGTCTTGG